CGGGGGCTGGGAACCCGGACTCCTGGGTTCTCCCCCCCCCAGCTCAGGGCGCTGACCCCTGCTCTCTTGTGGCCCCCCCGCAGTGCGAGACCTGCCACCTGCACTTCCGGCACAAGAGCCAGCTGCGCTTGCACCTGCGGCAGAAGCACGGGGCCGTCACCAACACCAAGATTCGCTACGCGGTGCTGGCCGGCCCGTCCGGCGCCCGCTGCTGAACGGGGACCGCGCTTCCTCCCCCTCCCATCAGGGGGCAGGAGAGAGACACCGCTCTCCTCCCCCACCCCGCATGGCTGCCACCTTCGCTCCTGCCAGCAGGGAGCGTTGTCTCGGGGTAGGGGGAATTCCTGTCCCGTCAGGAGGGGCCCGCTGGTCGTGAACCCCTTTCATGGCATGTGTTGTCCTGTGGCGTCTGGGCTGGGGTGCTATGGGACGTGGGGGGGCTATGGGATGCAGGAGGGTGGTCTCTCTAGTCTATAGAGGACCCAGTTCTCCGTGTGTGTGTGTGGACGGAGTGTATATGCACCCTGTGTTTTGAAGTGGGTCTGCCATTTTGCCTGCCCCCCCCCCCCAACGCTGGGGAGGGAACCCAGGAGTCCTGGCTCCCAGCCCCCCCTGCACTAACACACCACTCCCCTCCCAGAGCTGGGGAGAGAACCCAGGAGTCCTGGCTCCCAGCCCCCCCTGCACTAACACACCACTCCCCTCCCAGAGCTGGGGAGGGAACCCAGGAGTCCTGGCTCCCAGCCCCCCCTGCTCTAACCCACCAGCCCCCACTCCCCTCCCAGAGCTGGGGAGAGAACCCAGGAGTCCTGGGTTCTTTAAGTGTGGCACAGGAAGTGATGTCAGAGCTCTGCAGGCAGAGCATCCTGAGAGACCACACCCCCCACTTGTCTTAGCTACTTAATTTTCAGTTGATTTATGTTTTCTTCTGGAAGACAATATCTCATTTGGTTAAACCGGTTTCAATCCAGAGTCACTCTGAATTCTCTCCCACCCTGGACATCTCTATGGACAACTGATGACGCTGGCTTGATGTTGGCTTAACTGAAATCAGCAGTTGCCAGTTGTGCCTAGACTTCAGTGAAGTTCTAATCACGATCTAAATCTGGGAGGAGTGACTGATTTAACCACCCTGGAAGTCTCTCTAGCCAGCTCATTGTAGCGCTGCAGTTTTGGTGACACTAGTGTCAACCCCGAGGCACTCCAGTTAAGTTCTCAGCGAGGTTGGACATCTTTAGGGACACCGGATGTCTCTGGTTTGACAGCAGTTTAATCAAAATCAGGAGTCACTAGCTGTCCATGAAGACCTCAAAGACATTCTAGTCCAGTCTCTAAACTTCTGTGGATTGACTCTGGATTGACTCTGATTTTACTAAAATCCAGATTCACCATTTGTCTACAGAGTCTTTACTGAAGATCTAGCCTACCCTAGAAGTCTCTATGGACAACTGGTGACTCCAGAGTTTTGTTTAAACCAGTTTTAATACAGAGTCACTCCAGTTAAGCTTTCCCCTACCTACAATGTCTCTATGGACAACTGGTGACTCCAGCTTGATGCTGGTTTAAGGTGTTGTCTTTTCTTTTTCACAAAGGTTCTTTAAAGAATTAAATTTTTTTTTTTTGCTGACAGTGGCTTTTTCTGACCCGTATCTATCTATATTTTTTTAATTACTCCCCAAGTTGAGGGGTGTATTTTTTGTTGCTTTTAATTTGCTTTGCAATGTTAGTGCTTGGAGCAAATGGAAAAGGCGTTTGTAGCTTGGCCACTTGACCCTGTGTTAGTTAGTTGCCCGCTCTAGATGGTCCTAGAGTCATATTGGGGCAGGTCCGTTGCAAAAGGGTTCTTGATGTGTTGGAGATCTCTGGAAGCGTGAAGTGTAGCAAAGTAAGGAGTTTGATCCTAAGGTCTGGGGACATTCTGGAGATTATCTGGTTGGAGTCTAGAACCTAAGGTATCCGGTGTTCAGGGCTATGTTATCCAGCATTTAAATGTTCCACCTTCTGAGTGTAGAACACCCACATTTATCTGGATATGGGATCATGGGATCCAGAACATTTGAGGTGTCTTGTCTACTGGATTGTGGGTTCTAGACTGTGTTCTTCTGGAGTCTACATATTCCAGCTCCAGAGTCCAGATCCTCTGAGGTCTTCTCTTTACGGAATCCTGGGTTCCAGAATCTGTATTTTCTGAATCTAAATATTCCATCCACCGAGTCTGGAGCCTCTTGAATCAAAGGTTTCAGGAGCAGAGGTTCTGGATTGTTAAAATGTAGATGATCCAGGCCCCCATCACATATTGCCTCTGAGGTCGTCTGGCTATGGGTTCCTGACTTCCAGGCCTTTTTCTCAATAATACCTCTCCAGATACTAGAACCTCTGAGGCCTCCTGTCTACCAGATCCTGGGTTTTAGGTTCTTTGGAGTCTCTGTCTCCAGATTGTGGAACCGCTCAGCTCAAGGGCTTCTGGAGCAGGGGTTCTAGATTATTAATCTGTAACCCTTCCATATTCACTTTGCCAGATGGCCTTTGGGCATTTCATAGAATCATAGAATATCAGGGTTGGAAGGGACCTCAGGAGGTCATCTAGTCCAACCCCGAAAGCTCAAGTTCTGGAGACCAAAGCTAGAGTGACGCAGAGTCTCTGGTCCCAGCTAAGGTTCTAGATTGTCATTGGATGAGTCTAGAACACAACTGATTGATGGGCTGTATCATTCAATCAGGAATCCCTCTGGATCTGGAATACTGCAGGGTGGAAGATATGTGGCACGGGTGGGGGAACAGAAGAGCTGATGCAATACGTTGCAAGGACTGAGACCCCATCCCCTACTCCCCCAAAACAATTAAAGTCAGAGCAGGTTACTGGGGCAAGAGAGGGATCTGGGATCACAGTGGCCCTAGAATAAAGCTCAAAACTTCAGCAACAACTGGTCTTTGCTGCTCCAGAAGAGGTCTGGAACCTCTGGTGCTTCACGGTATGTGGGGGAAAAGGGAGGGAGCTGTGGTTTTGGAATGAGGTGGGAAGTTTATTGCCTTCCAATTGCCAGGGGGAAAAACAAATGGGAAAAGAGAGTCTAGAATAGCATAGTCTAAAACAACCTAGGAATGGATACAAATATCAGCGGGTAGCCGTGTTAGTCTGTATCCACAAAAACAACTCCTTGTTGTTTTTTTAGGAATAGATAGTGTGGCGTAGAATGGATAATGGAACCTACAATCAATGTAGAGTAAAGTCTAGAATAGATAGTCCATTCTAGAACTGATGACATAGGAATGGATTGCATGGTCTAGAACAGATTGCCCAATTGAGAATCAATAGATTGGGAAGGGTTATGCCAGCCTAGAACGGATTGCCTAGGAATGAAAAGACCTGTCTAGAAAGATAACACAATCTAGAACACATAGTCTCTGAACAGTTTGTGCTGTCTGGAACAGACTGTGCTGCCTATAATGGAGAGTACAACCTAGGATGGCAAGCGTAGTCTAGAATTCATGAACAAGAAATGGATAACACCACCCAGGACTGCACAGTCTAGTACTGATAACCTAGGTATGGACAGCCCAGTCTAGAATGATAGCCCAAATCTAGAAACCATAGCTTAGGAAGGGATGCCGCAGCCTGGACCATATAGCACCATCTAGAATGGATAGTATAGTCTAGAACTGATGACATATGAATGGATAGCATAGTCTAGAACAGATCGACCAATCTAGAATTGATAGCTTAGGCAGGGATACCGCAGCCTGGACCCATATAGCACCATCTAGAATGACTAGCCTAGGAAGGCTAGCACTTTCTAGAATGGCTAATCCAGTCTAGAAGGTTGGGTGGTTTAGATTGGCTAGCCTAGGAGTAGTCTAGACCTGATAGGTTGGGATCAGGTGACCATCCACACAACGGGACTGTAGACGGACCAGGAACACACACATCTCCCATCTCCTACTCCCAACCTAGTCGGGGTCAGTTCTTCTCTCTATCACGCACAGGTTCACCCAACGATGGGACCGGTTCCCATTACCAAGGTAGTCTTTGCCGCTGGGTAGATACACAGGGCAGCCTAGAGGGGACAGGCCCCGTGTCCCATCCCCCACCCCCTGAGCTAGCCAGTCGCCCTGTCATGGGGCTGGATACGGAGCCGGCGCCCCCTAGAATGGACCGGCCCCGTGCCCCATTCCCTGCTCCTTTGAGCCAGCCAGTCCCTGGCCTGGGGCCGGGTGGGAGCCGGCGCCCCCTAGAGGGGACAGGCCCCATGCCCCATTCCCTGCCCCCCTGAGCCAGCCAGTCCCTGGCCTGGGGCCGGATGGAAGCTGGCGCCCCCTAGAGGGGAAATGTAACAGTTATTCCTAGTGCTGGCTACTGGAGAGGTGCAGTGGCAGATTTAACCTCCCGCCACCCCCTCGTAGTTCTTCTGGGATTTGAACCCCCCCTGCCCCACCCCCAGCTACAAGCACATGTTGCTGGGAAACATGCAAACGGGGGTAACTTGCAGAGGTGGGACTATTCTATATTGACACCGAACACTGCGGGACAAAATGTACTTTCAAGTCACGGCTCCGCCTCAGTGGTCCGGTGGGGGAGGGGTTTGGGTCGGGCGGGGGTTGGGGGTGTATTTTGAGCGGATTTGGGGGTATCTGTCAAAAGCTGGTTCTGGCCCCACACCCTGTAGCACCTCAACCCGCGGCTCGGTGGCTGCTTTCAATAAAGCTGTTTTGGACAGAGGCACTGGTGGATTTTGTTTAGCAAGGCCCTGCCTGTCTGTGGAGAGCGCCCCCCGCTGAGCCCCCCGCCCCGCTCCCTGCCCCACAGCGCCACCCTGGGGCCAGCCCCCTGCCAGGGGAGAGCGCCCCCCGCTGAGCCCCCTGCCCCCGCTCCCTGCCCCACAGCGCCACCCTGGGGCCAGCCCCCTGCCAGGGGAGAGTGCCCCCTGCTGAGCCCCCCCGCCCCACTCCCTACCCCACAGCGCCCCCTAGCGCCGCCCTGCGGCCAATGCTCCCAGCACTGAGATGCAGCCACCTCTGGGGGTGGGGGAAGAAGAGGAAAGGAAAGAAAGTCCTCACTCAGACACAAATGCCCACAACACATCCCACCCAGCTACCTCAATCCAGTGTCCCTTGCGGGGACTGGATGACCAGTTCTTCCGGGATCCAGTCTTTAGTTTTACCATTTGACTCTCGCAGGGCAGTGGGGTCTGGTGGGTTAGAGCAGGGGGGGACTGGGAGCCAGGACTCCTGGGTTCTCTCCCTGGCTCTGGGAGGGGAGTGAGGGCTGGTGGGTTAGAGCAGGGGGGGCTGGGAGCCAGGACTCCTGGGTTCCATCCCAAAGAGCTTATGGGTGAGTT